GGAGGTTGCCACTATTTTTGCACATGCACTCAACAATGTTCTGTCTTCAAATCTAACTTAAAATTTCCAACCTTTGCAGGTCAACTGGATCTGCAACTCATGTGCGGCAGAGTGTTTTGTATTCGGTCCGAAGGGAACCTCGAGGCAGAAAAGGACGACCGTGAGTGTCCTCATTGTTTGTCACTACTCATATTTGATTCTTAATCTTTGATGCTATATCAATTAGGAGTTCACACTGTATCACTATTGCTTGCACTCCCTTTTTCATAGAAGAAATAGAATGTCTACAAGTCTGAATTGTTATTTTCAGTATCATCGACTAATGATCTGCTGTACAAGTTCTGATCAGGGTGGAGGAGCATACCGGTGAGGTGAGCAGCAGTGAGCTTGAACATACAAGTACAGACGTGTCACAGTTCGATGCCCTGCCGCTGAATACCACATCTCCTACACTTAAATCAGCTGATAGGTATTATCATTTTTTGTTCTTCCTTGAATGTGTGTGTGATGTGTGTGCCTCTGAGGGGTTGTTTTGATAGGAGGGATTTACAAAACCGGATCTTTATAAAATCGGAAAATGATCTAACTGAAGAAATCCTTGTTTGGCTCCTCTAGTCAGCCTGCGTATATAGCAATATTGGTTCCTGGAAAGCGAGGATTTTGCGTTTGGGAGTTACTTGTTTTTCCACAAAAAGATTGACATATACTCGGATCTCAACTAATTTTCATCTCCCCGCTTTTCTCAACAACCTTGTTGCTTCGTTTGCTCCTCAACAATACGAGTGCTCAAAGCATCACCATAGATGGATGCATACAGCTTTCTCTCCTTGTGTCATTTCTCCTCCTCAAGAAACAGAAACTCCGGCTAGGTATGTCTGCTCTCTGTTTGCAGCTTGTATGGTTGGAGTCGAGGGGCGGCACGCCTGCAGGTTGTGCTCCAGGAGCAGCGCTCGCCGGGACTAGCCTGTGTGGGGCCGATGAAGGGCGGTTGTTGCGGCTACATAGACGTTGGCGGGAAGCGTCCGCGCACGTCAATTCTTCAACTCCATAATTTCATCCACAAAGAAACAAGTAGTGATGGTGATGGTGGAGTGGCGGGGACGTTGAAGCCGAGCTTAACCTGCCTCTGGTTCGGGGTCCACCCGACGGACGAGCCAACGAGGAGCTGATGGTGCACTACCTCTGCGCAGAGGCCGTCCCCATTACCGAAGTCAATTTTGTCACCGATGATGTGCTCGAGCAGGTTGCAGCTCCTGCTTATGCTTCACTTGGTACTGCAGAACCATCGCACCACCGAGACGACGGGAAGAGGTTGACTAGGCAGAAGCCTAGCATCAGGTTGGTGACTTGTTCGACCCCACTGAGGTACTCATGCCATGCAAACTTGCCGCCAAATGACCCCCGCGTCACAGAGATTGTTGGTCAGTGCAGCCATCTTCTCGCTCAGATTGATGGTAACACCCGCAGCCGTGGCTGTGATGACGGAGCGGAGAGAGGAACAAGAATAGCTGAATCCTATCCAAATAGGGAACATGACATAACTGGTACACTTTCCTAACCCAGACGTAATT